TGCTATGTGATATGGACGTTTCTCTTGCCATATGTGTTCAAAAGTGATTTGATGTTTTATGTAAGATTGTTTTTTAGTTATTTTTTGATCATATAGATTCATAATCATTGACTACGTTTTTCGTTTTTTTACGACATGTTCAAATGTCGCAACATTTATCATGTCTGCTTTGTTGCTTTTCTTATCCATAGTAATCAAAAATTCAAATATTACTATCACTTTTAACCGAACGGATCAATTTAAAACATTCGCAGATCATATTTTCCTTTTGAAGATATGTGGAAACTTGTCCGACGTTTTTTTATCTTTAATCTTTGTCGAAATGTATGCCTATTGAATCGGTGTTTGCATACAAGTTATTGATAATTTTCTCTTCAGTATCACAAAATTAAACTTTCTTATCATCCAATTGTCTCATGATAATTTATTAAATGATCTATATCCACGAGATCACATCTTAGAAAAGAGATGTCGGCCAACTGTCAAAACTAAATAGAGACGATGAATAGAACATATGTATAAAGATCGAAGATTATACGTTGTTTATTATGGTTTTATGACGATGGATTTTTACATTTTGTCGTTTCATATACTGTAAATCAAATGACTTTAGTGTTAAAATCTTGTTAGATTTTTCTATGAATTGTTTTTCTATTCTATTAATTCTAGATGAACAAAGAACGAATAATTAATATAGGTTAGAATGCTTTTTTTTAGAGTGAAGAAAAATTCTAAGTAGACTATATGTAACATTAGGCGACGAAAGTTCAAAATCGTTCGATGTCTTCAAATTGCAAGATATTTTATATCATTGAACAGAATCAATGGCATCAATGAAAGAAAACTTCAGCAGTTCAATGCTTCTTTTCACTTAGTACGAGATGTAAACACTCCTATTCAAGTTGGTATTAATCAATACTAAAACATGATAGAAGCGAAATTATCTCGTATATTATAAGTCTCGCCATTGGTCGATTTGAGACGATTCTTCAACATAACAAAAGTTGTTCTCATAGTTTTCTATATTGTATCAATAAAAAATTAAACTTTTGATTCTGTTATAGTCTCGCCTATTGTTAGTGTTTACATTTTTCTGAGCAATAAGTAATAGGTTTATCTGTCTCTGAACAATATGCACTGGAACTAAAAACAAGTAGAAGAATAAGTCTACAAATACCTTTCATGTGAGTAAAAGACTCATAGATGTATTTTCTTTTATAAATCAATAAAATAAAATGTTGAACAATAAATTTCACGATTGAAAAGTTTTAGTTTCACAAAAATATTGCAAACGTTTTGTTAGAAAAGAAATATTATTATTTAAATAATGATTTCTGTTTGATATATGATAGGTTTAATCCCTTTTTTCCCAAAAATCAAGTTCTTGTTTAGTGATATGAATTATATCACCAATATGAATAGTTCCCGAAATAATTTTCGAATCATCGATTTGCCCTAAATAGATACCAAACAAAGCTTTGATACCATATGAATTACGTTTAAGTCGATAACTAAATGAGAATACATTATTTTTTTTTACGACATAAAAAGGATAAAATTACCTTCTCAATGTTTTCCAAGGTTCTTGATTTGGATCTTTAATACCAGTTTCTTGATCTACTGTCGGTAAAAGGCATCTTTAATTCAAAATAGTCATGAATAAAAATTAAAAAAAAATTATAGCAAACCTTAAACACGGTGAAATCCATCTTAATTTCACTTCACCAATTTTAATTTCTCTCCAACAATCCTACAATGAAAACAACAACAAAACATTTTTCTCCTATATATTCATTCGATTTCAGTTTACTTCTGAATATGGTACATCTGCATTAGTTACAATAATATTCGGTCGAAAATTATATATTTTAATTTTCTTTTCTAATCGTGTATTAAGATTGGCAACAGATTCCATTGAACATAAATGTATTGGACACACATCATGATAGATAGCTATATCATGATCTTGTGCTACATTGGGAAAATCTGGTTTATCTTTACTTGAACGTGCTTGAAATTGTTTTTCATCAAATATAACTAAATCAATTTTATCATCACTTTGAAAAAATGTTCGAAACCAATGAGATATATTATCATCATAGCGTAGACCAAGTATCGGTTCATCCCAACAACTATATGTATTCAATTAATTTATTGAAACAAATATTTACTAACAATTAACTTACTAACAATTCATTATTTCTTTTGGTAATGGATTAATCGGTATAAATAGATCAGGCATATTAGGTGCTTGAAGTAAAAGACCATTTTTAACAAATGATGGTTGAATAAGTGCCATAGTAGGTAAAACACGTTGTGATAAATGTCGACCATCTTTGACAAGCATCCATCGTCTATTTTACAATTGATTTAATTTGAAAAATAAGTTATTGAAATTACTATACCTATCATAGATTCGAGGATCCGAAGGAAGTGCTAAACCATATCTTGTAACTAAAGCTTCTTGAACTTTAACTCCACCACACGATTTTATTGGATAAATACGTAATTCTTGTACATTCATTGTTTAAATTCGATTTCTACAATCAAATATATATGTTCTAGTAAAAGAATAAATTTATTAAGATTATATATGCATGATAGATGAATATCTATTCTATTCTTTGATATATAAATTGATTTCTTTTTTTTCGTTTTTGTTCTTTTTACTCTTCTTTTGCAATGAAATCAATCAGTAAAAGCATAAAAAAACTAGACCTCTACTCGACTCAAGGCCGGCTAGAAAATTCGACTGACTGCAGAGTTCGAAAAATATCAAAGCCTGGTCCTATACGACATGTACTATTTCTAAACCCAAGACTTGTGTAGAGGAAAGCATAATGAATCTGAATCGTAGATTTCCATATAAGGAAACTCTCAGCTGTTCATTATCGTTCATCGTCTCATCTGTATAAACCATGAAGAGATTTTTTTTAAACATTTGAGACTCTTTCATGGATGAATTTCAGTTATGCAAGATGATAATTAAAGTATATATGCACATAAGATCTGAGATAAGAATGGTGTTTTAAGACTGAGTCATGTATAACCACATAAAGAAACTAACAGCTGTCAATTATCATTTTTGGCATTATTTACATCGCCCGAACGCTGCCGAATTTCGAAAAACGGATTTCAGATGTGCGCTCGTCACATTCTCTGGATCTCGTCAAGCTTTTTTCCGACTAAAAATGATACTCGGGAGCTGGGAACGAGTGACTGACTTGAATCGTGACTCATGTATTGAGTAGAAGAAAAAGAAGAATTTTCCATGGCAACTAAGCAAGTGAAAAGCAATAAGTCGGTCACTGCACTTCGTGCAGACCGCCGACTTAATCATATTTTGATATTTACTTTTCTTTTTCTTAGTTTCTTTTTTAACTAAACCAATCAAATACACAAGTTAGTACTTCTTACTATATGATTTCTCATTGATCATATAGATGACACCATCTGATTATTAGATTAGAACCACAAACAGAATTATTTTTAATTTATGGCGTAATTATTTGGCAACAAGTAGAATAATGTTTATTCTTAATCTTTGTTTCTTTGAATTCTAATAATTGTCTAATTAAGCTCGTTTTTACTATTTCTTCGTCATTTAGTACATGAATAATAAGTACAATTCATTGTATGTGTTTGGATTATTTTCTCCTGATTATGATCATTCGATGTTGTATACATGCATATAAACAATATCGACTGCTTTTACTAGAAAGATTTGCAATTAGTATCTATTAATAAAAACAACTAGCACAATTACAGATTAAGAAAAAACTATTACGATCCTCATAGTTTGCTTCGCTTACACAAAATACGTTTGGATGATACTATGAAAATAATATACTACGGATGAGATAGAAAAGAATCGATCTTAATAGGATGCAGAACGATGATAATAACTATCGATTTATTCAGAAATTAAAAGTAACTAATAGTGGTCAATATTTATCAATTCGATAGCGATATGAAAGCTTTTTTAGTATAATCTAAATATAATCTTTATAGAACGAGATCGAACAAGAGTTACATAAGAACTTGTTTTCTCTAGATCAGAATAAAATTCAATTAGTTTGGCAGAGATATAGCAGAATTGTGAAATTTGATTCATTATTTTCATTTTTCTTCACGTAAGAAATTATACTCTTCTTCTTACAATGTGTTTATTTCAAGCTAGGGGGAACAACGAAGGAAATTCATTATTTCAATTCCCGCTGACTCAAATTAATAAAGTTCGAGAGGAAATTGTAAGCAAAAATGATGTTTTTTTTTTAATAACCGGCGATGACATGAGTCACAAAAATTATCCTGTTGCACATAATTATGAATTACTAATTAGGGAGACATATTCATATTATCGGATACTTTTTCTCTGTTAAATTATTATCATTTTACACTGTAAATTCAAAATATCTTCTTTGATTTTTTTTTGAAAGGAAAGGCTAACAATGTTCTCCTTGAGAAACAGCATCGATGAAACCTGCTATGTCATGACTACAAACTTTCTTCTTTTTGCCAAGACGATTTATTATTTTTGTTTCATACCTTATCAGAAATAAATATTTTAAAAGCCAAATACAATGAGACCAATTTTTCAATATTCATTTTTTTTGTAGAAAAATATTACGTTTACTCTTATCACAGAAAGAATCCAAAATGAGTGGCAACTGAATCAGATCACATGTTTCATTGATATATATATATATACGACATATCTTCTTTAGCTAGTTTTTATTGTAACTAAAAAAAACGTAAAACATTAAAAATGATTGATCTATTCTTATATTTGTACCATGACTTATTGGATTACTATATCAGATACATATATTTTTCACGCTTCATGGTTACATCTTTTGTTGTTTTATGTCGTCATAAATTTATATCAATGACATCATCAAAGGTGTGTACTGATAATAGTACATAACAGACTCAAAGTGCATTTATATATAAATAGAAGCATGCTTTGGACCCTTCTCTTTAAGGACAACAAATAAATAATGAAAAATATAAATATAAGTATATTGATATTAGTCATTAGTATAATTGTTTATTTATTTATTGAACATATCAATCGTCAAACATATGAATTACTCAATGATATTGAACGTCGTGGAAATCGTTCGATCAATGAAATCGAAAAACGATCACGTCAACTCATAAACTCCACAATAACTGAATTCAATAATCAAATTACTGAACAAATCAATTTGGTGATTGAAAAAAGTCGAAAATACATTCCTTTACAAAATCCATATGGTGCTACAACTTGTACAGAATGGTTTGGATGTCATAAGGGTTATTGTTGGGCAGGATGTGCTGGTGCTTTTCCATCTTTAACTGGTCCTGAATGGTGTTATACAACAAAATCAAAAGGAAAAATCACTTGTTCTCAAGATAAAGATTGTAATGGATGTTGGCGATGCTCTAGTCCATGTAGTATTTAATTAACAAACGTTTTTTTTTCAATACTTGTATTCAAATGTACACATACATAAAAAAAAATTTCTACGATTCAGTGATCTGCAACTTTGATGATCTTGAATTATTTTCATATTGAATTTTTTCTTTTCTTTTCACCTAGATATTTTTAAAAAAGTGCACAAATTGTTTTTGTTCTTGAAAAACATTATTGACACAATTTAATCATGCACAATAAGTGTACATCTAAATTTATTTGAAGAAAAAGAAAAAGTACGATTCTTTTTATTTCATCTTACAGGTGAATGAAAATAATTATATAAACTAGAAATATAAGGCAATGTATTAAAAAAAAAGATCTCTCTGCTAAGTTAAGGGTTGAATTGAAAGAGAAAATTGAATAAGATAAGACTAATTGTCTATATGTTCGTAAACAATTAAAGCATTTTTCAAGTTTATTTTCCATGATCTTTCTTGGCAATATATCTAATAAGATCAACAACACGATTTGAATAACCATATTCATTGTCATACCTAAACATAAAAAAGATTGTATTTCATATAGAAAAATAAAATCTTACCAAGCAACAAGTTTGACAAAATTGTCATTGAGCGAAATACCGGCTTTAGCATCAAAAATGGATGAATGTGTATCACCAATGAAATCAGTTGAAACAACTTCATCATCAGTATAAGCCAAAATACCTTTCAATGGACCATGAGCAGCTTCTTTAATTGCAGCACAGATTTCTTCATACTTAGCCTAAACAATACATTTTATGTAATGAATCAATTGAAAATAAAAATATAACTTACGCCTTTGGTTAATCGAGCCGTGAGATCAACCACTGAGACATTGGCTGTTGGAACACGGAAAGCCATACCAGTTAATTTTCCATTTAAGTCTGGAATTACTTTTCCAACCTAATTAGACAAAGAAAAAAATACATTTTTTATGTCTACTAAAAACAAACAAGAAACATACAGCTTTAGCAGCACCAGTTGATGATGGAATTATATTTTGTGCGGCTCCACGTCCACCACGCCAATCCTATCAAAATAAAATAGATATAAATATAATTTATTTTTGTCTTGTTGAATTTCATACTTTATTTGATGGTCCATCAACTGTTTTTTGTGTAGCTGTGTAGGAATGTACAGTTGTCATTAAAGCTTCAAGAATACCAAATTTTTCATGGACAACTTTAGCAAGTGGTGCTAAACAATTTGTTGTACATGATGCATTTGATAGAACTGTTTCCTTGCCAGTATATTTGTCTTCATTGACTCCCATAACAAACATCGGAGCATCAGCTGATGGTGCTGTAATTATAACTTTTTTAGCACCGGCTTGTAAATGTGGTTGACATTTATCAATGGTTGTAAATACACCAGTTGATTCAACAACATATTCGGCACCTTTAAACAAAATAGAAAGAAAAAAAATCAATCAATCACTTATCATACAAGGTCAAGTGGAAATGTGTACCTATTTGACCCCATGGAATCTTTGATGGTTCTTTTCTAAAAATAAAAATATATAAAACATTAAAATTCGTTTACTTCAAATATTTACTCAGTATAAACATTGATTTCTTTTCCATTAACAATAAGTTTGTTCTCTTTATGTGAAACTTCACCTTTAAAACGTCCATGTGTTGAATCATATTTAAACATATACACCATATAGTCAGCAGGAATAAATGGATCTACAAAGTCATATTTTAATAGACATATCAACAAAAAAAATCTAACACTAACCATTAATACCAACTACATCAACACCTTGTTCAAGTGCACATCGGAATACAAGTCGACCAATACGACCGAATCCATTTATACCAACTTTAACGTCTGATGAAGACATATTTACCAATAAAAAAATTACAAGTTTGGCCTATTTTATGATAGAAAAAAAAAGCAAGAGAAAGAAAAATGACTAGGGTAACACACTTATAAAGACTGGCGACCGCCACAATTATTTTTCTATTCGACGCAAGCGAGACAGAATTTCGATAATGTTTATAGCGACCTCTCTTCAGGCATCATTGTGTATATATAGTTATCTACTGTTAGACTTTAATGAATTATTTTATGAAGAATCCATATTAAAAATGAAAATTAAACTTGTTTTAATAAATTAATATTCATAATGGTTATGTATTTGAACCATTGATTGATGTTGAATGATTCATTCGTTATTCGAAATGAATTATATTTTGTCACTAAAAAATGTTTAATTTTCGAAGAATATCATTGTTTCATCGTTCAATATCTATTAAAATTAATGCTTGCCGTTTTCGATCAGCTCGTCGTTCTTCTAAATCATTAATAAATGATCAAAAGCATATTGTTACTGAAACAAAACCTGTTTCATTAGATAATCTCTCACCTGTAGTTCGTCAAATTCTTTCTAAAGATCCATCATATGCTGTTCGTTTTGGTGGTCAATTATCTGAAAATAAAAAATATCTTGTTCGACAACATTCACGAACAACAGGTCGAGCAGAAAATCTTCTTTTACAAATACCAAAAGATGATATTATTTTGTCAATTAATGAAGATGAAAATGATTTACCTCATCCACCTATTGTTGCTTTTCCATCTACAGAAAATCAATTTCAAATGGATTTAGGAACAGAAGATAAAACAGTACCTATTCATGAAACAGCTTGTTGTTTTGGTTGTGGAGCATCACTTCAATGTGCTGATAGGACTAAACCGTAAGAGATTATTTTTAATAGAATTATCTATATTTATAATATATTCAAGAGGTTTTGTACCAGTTGAAATCTATAAACATTATCTATTAACATATTTACAAAAACGAACAAGTCAATGTCAACGATGTTTTCTTTTTAAATATACAAATGAAATATCACATTGTGAAGTTAATGAACAAATTTATAAAGATATTTTAATAGAAATTAAACGAAAACGTGCTTTAATTATTTTAATTGTCGATCTTCTTGATATACCAAATTCCATTAGTCGATTATGGACAAATCTTGTTGATGAAACAGCAAAAAATCATCATACTTCATCCAATATTATATTTGTTCTTGGCAATAAAGTTGATCTATTACCCAAAGGCAGGTTTGTTTTAAATAGAAAATAGTTTATTATTACATAAACCAACTCTACAAAACTTTTTACATATATAAAAAATTGAATAGATCAGAATATGAACTTCGAATTATGTTGACTTGACTGTTAATGATTACGAGAAATTACCGAATAATTCACAGCTTAAGTTCACTTTCGATCAGAAATTTATTGATGCAATCTCTCTTAAACTCACGAATTTGAATTTTTAAGAAGAGTAGTTCAAGTAAAAACTTGTAATCAAAAACTAATAAACCCCGTTACACGTCAGTAAAAATTAAAGATTCAGTTCTAATAGTTAAAAAATGAATTTCCCTTTTTTTTATTCGATAAAAACTGTTATAAGTTTCTTTATAACAAAAGTTATTTTTGAATTTTCCATGTATAGGAGTAGTTAAATTTGTGAACATTATATGTACTTTAAAAAAGACATTTTGATTAACTTCATGTTGAGAAGTTTTCTTCGAAGCACTAATATTTTTCATAAATATTTTCGTTCTAATAGAATACATAGAATCTACAAAAAATATCTTTCATAAGTTTTTACTGTGTCCATCATTTCTTTTAAATAAAGATGCAGATATCGATTGATTCAAAAACTATTTTATGACGAAAAAACTGAAATATATCTGCCACGATTTGTATCGTTAACTTCAATGTCATGTGTCACAAACCTCTGATTATTTGGTATATGGATTCATAATGAACTAGTAGTGATTGAGAAAATGTTTTTTCTTTTTCAACACTTATTAAAGATTCGATGAGAAATGTATTTAAATGAATAGTAAATTTATTTTAGATAGTGAATCATATTTATCTAATGTTCGTCAATGTCTTGAAAATGAATGTACAAAACGTGGTTTAGGAAAACACATAGTTAAATATTATGGTTTAATTAGTGCCCGAACTGGGTATGGTGTTGAAGAATTGATTTCCAAAGTATTTCGTTATTGGTCGCAACATGGTTTGTCTTTACTATTTTTATTTCTTCTATTTTTACTTTCTAAATAAAAAAAAAACCATAGGTGGTGTTTATCTACTCGGTGGTACAAATGCCGGAAAAAGTAGTTTATTTAATAGTCTTATTAATTCTGATCTTTGTCATATTCATGCACTTGATTGTATTCAACCTGCAACCGTATCAAATCTTCCTGGTAAAATATTTATTTTATGAATTTATTTATTTATTTTTATTGTATTATTTAGGTACAACAATGAATGTTGTTCGTTTTCCGATTCAATTACGAACTGGAAAAAATCAATTTATGCGTGAAGATCGTTTAAAAGAACGAGAAGAAAACGAAACTATTCCTGATGATGATAATAATTCAATTGAAAATGAAACAACTATTGTCGGTATGTTTCATTGTTACTTTCAATGAATAAAATGTCGATGATGGAGTTTTAGACAATGTTGAGTCAACAGTAAAATGGCGTCGTCGATTTGAATCTGAAATGAATTTACCAAAAAGTGGTGTATCATATACATATTCATCTGGTGAAAATTCTTTTAATGAAGATCGTTCATTTGAATCTAGTGAACATAATTATATTAATTATCGACAAAAGAAAATGCGAACTTTTAATCCTGATTCATATAAAAATGAAAAATGGCTTTTTGATACACCGGGAGTTATTTTACCTGAACAAGTAAAAAGAAATTTTTTTGTTATTAAATATTATTTTCTTTTTTTTTGTTTGTTGAAGATGATTAATAAATGTAGTAATCAAACGGAACTTTCATTTTTTGATCATCAATCAACTATTATTCGACCAGTGAATATTTTATTAAATGTTGGACAAACAATATTAATTGGTGGTATTGCAAGAATTGATGTTAAACATGTAAATTTTTGTTCTTTATTCTATCATATATATTGTTACTTTTTTCTCAAGATTACAAATCATGGTCAAGCAACTCTTTCATTAATGACAACATCTCGTTTGCCAATTAATGTGATAGAAACAAAAGATATTGAGAAATTTTATGAAAATACTCTTGAAAAAAATCAACTTGGAGTTAATAATCATTTTTTGCTATATATTCAAATAGAGATGATCATCATTTCTTATTAGGTACCACAGAATCAAATCAATGGTCATCTTCAAGATCCACCTCGACTAATTGGTCCCACTATTGAAATTCTTGGCATTGGAGAAGAAGAAGCTGCTGGAGATATTGTTCTATCATCAGCAGGTATTATTCATTAATGAATTTTTTTAATAGATTTTCATGAGACTTAGAGATGCATCTAGAGTTAGATCTTTCTGTTAATTTTTCTTCAAAAACGATAGTATTCAACAACTTTATCTTCTAAATATATCGAATTCTTTTAAGTGATTTATTGTATGAATAAATGACATCACGATTTATATTCTGAAGAAAGACAGGCCCTAGTATATCTTTAACTACTACTGATTATCCTTAAAAAACACGAAAAAGTTTAGTTTGCTTTATGAATCTATTTTTTCCGTAATTTTTATACCAACAAGACAAATCTTATATTCAAATAACAATTTTAAATCTAGGTTGGGCTAGTGTTCAATGTAGTCGTGATCAATATGTGGTATTTGATGTAATGACACCAGATGGTCTTGGTATTCATCTTCGACAACCACCATTACTTAAATATTTAATTCATTTACGTGGTTCACGAATAGAACAAACACCATTCTTTAATAAACATACTTATAAAGAAGATCAACAAGAAAATGAAGATGATAATGAATATCAGTCAAATGAACTTGAAATGATTATCAATGAGAAATTATGGAAAGGAGAACAAAATAAACATCGACGACATATTGAACATAAAAAATAAACATTGTTATTGTTATTGTTGTTCTAATAACTGGTAACTAAAAATAAATATCAGTTATATATTTGTTCAATAATTAACATTGTAAAATTAAAACCAAAGAAAAATAGAACGAAAAATTATCAAGATCGAAAGCTACATTGAAAAGCAATAAATAATTATAATACTAGGTATTTTACTAAAGATTTGATAAGTGTTTATTAAAAACAAAAAGCATATCAAGCGAATTCGATGTGTTAACGATATTGAGAAAATAAAATTCATTTCTTTTATTTCAATCATCGTATTTCCTAGAATTGTTACCCATGGTTTGCTTGATGAGATGTGTGGTAGTTCTGTATCAATTAATTGAATTGATTTGAATCATTGAGTTTTTTTATATGAACTGAGTCTAGTGACCAACTCTTGTCATATGAGTTAGATGTTATAATAAGCTCTTTTCATATAATATGACTTGCTGAACAGTTCATTTAATCGTACTCCTATATAATTGTTACAATTTCTTCTTAGTTCACATTGCCGTTTAGTTGACATGATCTCAAAATGGAGGTATTACCTGCTTTCCTGGGTATGATAAAATGTACTGTTTAGTAATGTCAGTTCATATGAAGAAAGCTGGTCACCAGATTCCACTCATATGAAAATAAGTTGTATGATTGAAATTCATACAGTTAGTTGACATGATTGACCATACATCTATATATATATATATGATCAATAAATATTTAGTGAATGTTAATCGCTCTTAAATTCTTTTTCGTTCTCTTTTTTTCCTTACTAGTAATACTTCTACTCATGAATCCATAAAATATCTATCTTAATGCCAACGAATAATAAAAATTCTGAAATATATTCCATCTTTTCTGCGAGAATGAGAAAAAGAACTTATACAGAGTGCTTTCTTTTGAAAAAGTCATATATATATTATTGAGCTATCGATCGTTTATGTTTAATGATATTGTTACCCTGCATGTCAGAACAGAGACGAAGGAAAAATACTCATGATATTCTTTTTCATTAATGATCTTAGAAAATATTTTCATTATTAAATGAGGCAACGAACTAAACACAAATTAACTAATTATGAACAAGTTCACCTTCATAGGATATCAACAAAACCAAACTCAAAATCATAAGATTCTCTCATATATCTACTAGAAAATCAAAATATTCTATAAGAATTGATAAACGATGAATTCATCTTATTAGTAAATAAAAATACAATAATTTATAACTATAATTATATAACAAATAATTGAAAATAAATTATATGGTATTTGATCTATGGCTTTGCTTCTTTTAATTTCGTCAGCTATATCATTTTCTGTCGATTTGAGCTCAATTTAAATTGACTTTATGCTGAATTTTAAAACTACATTAAGCGTATCCAATTTACTTTATGGACAAACAAAGTTAAAAGGCAATTTAAAATAGTCCACCCAGTTGAACTGCTTTTAATAGAGACATCAGACGACAATTTTACTCGACCTACTATCTTCCTACATGTAAAGTGTCATTAGGTATATTTGAAATCATAATTATCTTCCTTAGATGTAATCAAAGTTGCTAGTTCATTCAAATAGCATTAACAATGATGCAGTAAATATAACATTTGTTGGTATGCATGTGAATGTTATTAAAAATTTCTTTATTTTCTCATGGTACCTAGCAAAAGCGAGCTTCAAATTTTCTATTTCTTTCTTGTAGTATTAGCAACGATGTTGTTACTCCTATGTTAATAATGAATTAGCTTGCTCAAACGCCAGACGATATGCACCCACATACAAAGAATGTTGAATTTCTTATGTCGCATTTTTTATCAAGAAGTTTTATCTTGTCCACATAATTGGAAACTGATCAACATGATCATGAATACTTCTGTAAAACAATTCAATATTAATGATTTTTTGAAATATAAATTTAAAACTACAAACAACTTACTTATAAGTTCTTTTGCATCCGAGAGAATTCCTCTGACAAATATTAGAGCTTTTGTTCGAAATATCAATAGATCATGGAAATTTTCAAACTCATTATCCTAGACACAGTTAATCGTAATATCTGTCCTATTTGAGATTAACAATGAAAAGGCTGCACGAATGATATCATTTTCTTATGTGTGGTCTCCACTCACAAATAAATGTCAAACAGTAATAGTTAGGATACCTGAAACGTCAGGCGATAGGAATTTAATATTGAAATCATCTTTTAAAATTTCGAAAATGTGATATCAGAACAATACAAGTAGTTGTATTGCAAGCAAACTCGATTTGTCGAAAAGGATATATATATATAATGAACTATAGAGCACATTAATATTTCGCCATTAGCCATGTGAAGTATAGAAGAATCAATACTTAACTGATTTTGTACCTAGTTCTATGTCAATTTATTATAACTGAAGCATTCATTTTAACATTAACGTCGATTTCATATTACTATAATCTATCGAAATTCATCGGCTAAGTGATTTTATTCCGTTTGATGTTTTTCTCAACCTCACTATAGGAGGATATGGATAAAACAAAAATTCAAAACAATCTGACCTACGAATTCTCAAATCTGTTCAACAGGTGGTCGTTGAGTTTCTGTTACCTTGTTGGGTGTGGATGTGATTGTTCAAATAGATCAATAAAAGATCCATACCCTCATATCGCCTTTATATTTCCTGACCCTATATGGATTAGTTCAGCTAAAGAATATTCTCTTTTTCTTTGTTTTGTGAGAACTAAATGATTTATATGACGTTATCAGTTATTTCAAAGAATCATTAAGATTAAATAACATTTCTAGTTGCGCTATCTATCTCTAACAATATCAGTAGTATAACTTATCATCATACAGTCCACTACGTGTCGACGTTCATTCCTTTGATTTCCTTCTTGATCTATTGTCATAATAGCGTTATTATCAGTATGCAAGCACTGTTTTTACCTTTACGTTTATTGCTTTTATCAGTGTGTTGCAAATAAGAACTTCTCAATGTTGGCAGTTGAAAGCTGATGCTTGAAAAGAAATGTTCATAAAAGAAGGTTACAAATTAAAATGATCATCCTTTAGTCAACAAGTAATCAGAGTCAAATTAAATATATATTTGAGAAAATCGAAACGTTTGATCTGAACTAATCAGTATTATTTCTATACGTAACAGGAAACTCTTATTGAACTAAAAAACGAACTAGAACGTATTCTATTTTTCTAAAATAGATATTTATTCCATGGGAATGGATTAAACAATTTGGAGAATGACCAAAAATACTTTATTTTTCTTTCTGAGACTGACGTTGGATTGTCTGGAATGCTTTGATCAGTTCGATAAACTCATCCTTTAGGTATATTTCTAGAAAACACCAGGAAAAGTAATGCCATTGGGGTGAAATCCTATATTGACGGTTGCAAAAATGAATCAACCGAGAACTACCTCAATAATATATGGAACGATGCAGAATATGTTCAATTCACGTGAAGAACAATTTTAAACTGAAAAGAAAGTATATTCGATAATAATATGAAGCTTCGAAGAATGTGTTGCTTTTGAATTTCTTTTTTTTTCTCATGCAAATTCTTAAGTGAGTATAGCCATCTATATAGTACTATTCTTTTTTCTTGTTGTTTTTTACTTTCTACACTCTGTTCTTATTGCTGGCAGTTTTTTTAACCAATTATTTTTGTTTTTGTTCTGTCTTACATCTAGTCAAAATTTCTATTAATGAATCATTATATGTGACTTGTTCGAATAGGTAATTATAATCTCTGACCAAGACTTGATTTCATAGTCTTCTTTATCTTAATATATGTCATATCCGATTTCCCATTGAATTATGAAATGAGAAATATAAATTCAATAAAATAATTTGGATTAAATGACACTTGATGATCTTGCTCTTCATTTTTGATAGGCATTTTTATTCATAATATCATTCATATAATCAACAAATCGAAGAAACATTATTTGAATGATTTCAAAGCGATTACTAATGAAGAAATTTGGGAAGCAGATGATACATAAACATATTTCATCGTTTCTTTTCTGTTTTCAGGTAAATAAATAAGAAAAAAAAAATGAGTAATTCATTTGCTGAACAATTATCAAATGTGAAACTAAAACCAAGCAAAGACAAAACAAAAGATTTTAGTGATCCAAAACTCGCAGGTGAATTTTGTATTGATGTTTTGCTACTTTATATGATTAAAGGTTATAACTTTTTGTAATATATAGAATTTTGATTAAAGCTTTATTTTTGAAAATTCCACAAATATTCTTCCTAGTGTTAATTTAACCATCGTCTATGAAAAACATTTGAAATACTTTTATTATTTATTGAATTTGCATTTAATCACATATGAATAACATGATTTTACTGCACTAATATTTATGCTAATCAAATTAAAACTTTATTCAGGTTTCATCACTAAAGATCAAATAAGTACATATCAAAAAACTGCTTTAGAAACTAATATGGAAGAATGGCAAATGTTACTTGTTAATGGTATTAACAAATAAAAAAATAAAATTTCATTCAATATAATTATTTTATCATCAATAATATTTAGAAACATTTCCTACTGTTTATTGTCCAATAACATATTCCGATGCTCAACATTTCATACGAATATTTGAACGACATTTTCAAAAATTACATGAACATCAACTATTTGATCAAATACGAGAACGAATGGATATTTGGTTTAATGATGATCTAGAAGAAAAACAATGGTATGAACAAATAAAAGAACGTCTTCAAAAAACGATTGATCAAGCATATCCGAATACGAAAGAACTCTTTGCTAAAACATCATCACGTAGTGCAAAAGATGCTTGTGTATTTAAACGAAACTTTCTTGAAGTATATAAAAATGAATTATCTAAATTTCCAGATCCATCACAAGAAAATTCTCGTATTATAGCACTTCTTACAGCTGCTTTTTTATCCTTATGTGTTACATCTGCTACTGAAGTTCTTTCAATGTTTATTATTAGTGAACGTATCTATCAAGATATGTTATTAGCTACAGAAGCACAAGATAGTTCCGATTCCTTATTTAAAGAAAATATAATTCTACGTCCATTTATTCCAATTGATGTTGATATGGAATTTCGTGGTTTCGTATATCAACAACGTTTAACTTGTCTATCACAATATAATTATCTAATTTATTCTCAACGTTTATGTCAATGGAAAGATAATATTCTTGAAAAAATTATTTCTTTTTTTAATCAATCTGTGAAAACTAAATTAGATAAATATAAATCACATGATTATGTGATTGATTTTGCATTGGCGAAAGGTGGTAAGTTAATATTGTAAGATATTATTGATTTATCTACTATTTTCATTTTTGATGAGTTTTAGATGATGAAAGTGTCAATTCAATGAAAGTTTGGGTAATTGAACTCAATCCATTTATGGAAACAAACTGATGGAGCTTTATTCAGTTGGCAACATGAACGAAATTTATTAGAAGGACGATCAAATGAAAATCAAGATAAACCTCTTTTTCGTATAACTGAAAAAGTACGTCAAGGATCTTGGTCTATGTTACCAATTTCAATTCGACAATGGATTAAAAATGAGAATAATTAATAAGAATTAGTTTTAAATGACTTTTCAATAAATAATCTATTGAACTTATTTTTTTTTCTTGATAATTTAAAATGTCTTCTTTTAATGAAAATCTTTTCAAACAAAGTCAAAGAATTTGAATTTTTCATAGACAAATAACACACGTGATTAATGTCCACAATTAAATTAAGATTGTCACGACAATAGCAAAAAAATAAATACAATGGTGAATATAATCACCTATAATGAATATACATTAAAGAAAGAAATGTTATGAATTTTTCGCTGGAATCACTGTTCTATGTTGATGTCTCATTTCAACTAATTCTTTTAATAAGACACGTTTTTCAGTTTCTAATTGTTTAATACGATCATCTCTTGCTTTTAATTGTTGTTGATATTGATTATTTGCTCCATTCAATGATGAAGATGAAAGTGAACTAGATGAGCGATCTGATGATTTCTAAAACAAACTATGATGAATTTTAGTGATCTTTAAACATGAAAAGAGAAAAAAAAAGGTTAGAATTCTTGTTACTACCTTCGAATCGTAATTCGCTTCAGTAATAACTGTATTCGCTAATTTTAGTAAATCAGCAACTAAATCTCGGTTATAGATTGGTTCTGGTGCAACACCAGTTGTCTACAAAAAATATTACATATTTTGAGAATAAAAAGTAATTTTATTTGATAGCACATACTTCTGCTGTTGATAGATGAAGACAATATGAACGTTGTTTATCCTTCATTTCAAGAAGACGATCAGCTAAATAAGCTTTGACACGTTCAAGTGTATCACATGTTTGAAGAAGAAGATCGCGTTCAATTTCAAAACGTTTCATGGCTCGAATCTAAATATTGTAAACATGTAAATACAAAAAAATGTCAATAAATGATCGATATTCATACCATAGAAAAGTCAATTTCATTAGTATGAATTGTATTTCTACGCATTGACATTGATGGATTTTCAGTATAAATATTTCCATGTTGTTTAGTTGGTTTTTGTATAATAATTTTTTTTCTATGACGTACAGGAATTGATGTATTATCATGTGAATGATAATGACTACTTTCTGTACCATTATAACTTCTATAAACGACAGGAATTTGTTGTTCAATATTTTTCGGTGTAGGAGTAGTAACTACTACACTTGTTGAACGATTTAATGGAAATGATACAGGTGGTGGTGGACGTGTTGCTTTAGGAATTAAAATTGGTGGTGTTGATAATGATGATAATGATGAATCAGATGTTGTTATTGGTGGTGGTGAACTTTTCGTTGTTGATAAAGATTTTTCAATAACACTTAAAAGTAGATCAAATGTTATTAAATAATTATTTGGTTTTGATTCAATTTCAAGTTCATGTAAAATATCAGATGTTGATGATGAATTATCAAAAGAAAATGATGGTGTCCAATAACGTTTAAATAAATCAAATGGTACATAACCACTCTTAGTTTTATCTAATATTGAAAATAGTTGACGTAAAGAAGATATAAATGTTCCAGGAAGTGTAGAAGATATTCCTAGTTTTGAAGTATTATTATTTGAAGAAGACAGTACTGATGGTGGTGGTGGTGGTGGTGGAAGAGGTGCTCGACTTTTCGATGAAAATGAACGTTGAACACTGTGGAGTTGATGTTGTGGTTGTTGTTGTTGTCTATTCATTGTTTCACTATCAATTGGTGAAACACATCTTCATTAAAGAAAAAAACAAAAAATTATTTCAATATTTATGATATTATTTCAAAAAGAATATTACGAGAGAGAGAGAGAAACGAAAAAGAAATATAGCCTTGAAAATAACATAAATTACAACGTGTCAATTCTAAAATAAGCATATTGTTTGAATTTGACTATTTGAGTCAAGATTGGATGAATATTTAAAATTTGAATTTTTACTTAGAAGAATTCAGATTTTTTTTTTTTAATTTATTCAAAGAACCTTTATCAACACATCTATTTTTCTTTTATGAGTAGTTTGCATGAATACACTCGAACGAAAAATGACACATTAAGTAAAAGAAAGATATTATCACACACTATCGATTTATTCAACATGTATTGACCATCAATAATGGTCACACGCTTTTTATCATATTATCTAGGGTTCTTTTTCCTTACGTCGTATTAGCTGAAGTCGTACATCGCTGTAACTTGCCAATCATCTGGTCCAGTCGATCGAGATCAGGACGTACAATATGTGTTAATGTCGATCCTTTCAACTGCTGCTGCTGCGACTGCTGTAGCTGAGACAGAGGTTGCTGTGGCATTTGCTCTTCGAGGGTCGCATGGATATTGAATTTCATATTTGTTTGAAAAATGGTCTGCTCCATGACTTGCAAGGTTTTCGCTTATACAACAAAAAAGAGGGAGCGAAATAGAGAAGCAAGTCGTATGTATGTAGTAAGCTACATGCACAATAGAAGAAAGAAAAAAGTCCATTAATAATCGTTCTTCTCTTTCTTGTCGTTGTCGCCCTCCTGTTTACTATAGGAAACGAAAATGAAACGACACGAAATCTATAGATTGATTTTGACATCGATGGAATAGAATAAAAAATTGTGAGCATTATAAGACGTAACATATATATAAATATTCAACAAAATCATATTCTCATTTACCTTTCTAACAAATGTTCGTGTAATGGCAAACAACAGGCCATCATGTTGATATGTTGAATAAAGGAAATCACCATATGCATATGTGAGAATCAAATAAAGGTCGATATTCGACAAGTAATAAGAAGAAAACAAAAAAAACTGATGTTCATCGTACGTATGATGTTCAGTCAGTCGATTCAATTATAAGCACGCTCTACGCTCTAATATAATAATGATGATTCGACCAGTGAACAACAACAAGATAGGTCAAGTCAAGCGAGCCAACGCGATATGTCCGTCTGTCGATATATCTATCTGAAGGGATGTATGCATATCTTCTTCATTGGAAGACAAATAATCAGAAAAAGTCATTCATTCAAAGAGAAAGAAAAAAACGATGTAGCAATCATAATGAGAAAACAATAAACGTCTATTTCACACACGCATCCAATATCAGATTTCATAGGAAAAGCAAGAAACATGAAAATTACTTTAAATCTTATTTATTTATTAACGATACTATTGAAATAAATCTTCAAAGTGAAGTGATTTTTTTTATAAAAAAAATGTCTCGATGAAAATTGTATGATGATGATGATGATGATGATGATTCTCATTCTGTCTTCAATGAACTCTTTACACATATGAATATATACTAAACTATACGTTATATTATTGTTGTTGTCCTCTATTGACTATAAAGTATACTTAAAACTTACAAGGCATCAACAAACATTTGAGTGGCAAGCTTTTGTTGATGATGATGATGATGCAAAATACTGTATTGTCGCCTTCTCCAACTAAATGAACTTACATGTATATATATATATATGCTTCTTGTTGTCGATATATACGTTTCGATTGAAGAAAGAAGTAAGCAAGAGAGAGAGAGAGAGACAGAGACAGAGAAAAAAGTGAACGGCTCCTATGTATATATATATTTATTAATGTATGAAATATGAATATATGCGTAGGATATATATGTGTGTATGTGTCTGAGTCGGGAGGAGTATTTGGGTCCTATCGTCGTCGTTGTTGCTAATGAATGCCTCTCGTTCGATATGATACACAGATGAAGCATATGCAAAAATTAAACGAAAAAACAATAAATCACCATTCGTCTGCTTGCACATTTATAAATATGCACATACAGATACATTATATACGAAGAGGACACATGATGAGATATCGGATAAAAGAAAAGAGATAATACCCATCGGATACTGATGATGTGCCTGTCGGCAATATCGCCAGAATTCATTGAGTCAGAAAAAAAGAAACAATCTTATCTTTTCTATGTCAATCCCTGAGGTATCATATACCAATACGGAGCAGGTCGAGTTTATATTGTTCATATCTCTGCGATTGTTTTTGCTTCTATGCTCAATAATTAACAAAATATGGAATGCATTAGAATGAACAATGATGACAAGCAATAAAAGAATGTCAATAGTTATCTATCGACATGTTACGTATTATTGAGAACACTTGCTTTATTTTAAGATAAGATTACGAGATCGATAACAATACTGCTTATATATATTAAATAGGAAAAAATTACGAATGTCAATATGAAAAAGAAAAAAATTACATATCATGAACACTAAAAATCTGTTTACTATCATCAACATTATTTCAATTTTAAATGACGTTTCAATTAATAAACAAATGTCATGTTGGATTTCGCTACTTCAATATACTTTAGTTAAGAAAATATCAATTATGCATTATCTCGCTTTTAATAATTGTATATCATAGAAACTAGATTCAATTTGAACAAAAGTTCCAATAAAAAAAATACGAGAACTCTAAATACAAAAAAATTTTTTTTTTTTTAATGATTTATGACTTTTTCTTCTATTATCATTATACACGATATTACTCATGAGAAAACTTCATCATTTATTGACATATTACTGATCATTTGATAACAATCAGATTCTAATGTAACATTCTCTTCTAGTAATCTAAACAGCTTTTATTATAATGTACATGAGAATAATTATCATTAGCTTACATCTTCACATAATAATTGAATACATAATGTTTTTAATGATGACTAGTAATTCTTTTATGTAGACATATAACCATGAGACTGTTGAATATTTCAAAAAAGAACACAAATCTTGAATTATTCAATTCTCACATTAGCAAATGAATTTAACTATTGACTTATATTGACTGTATGGATCTATTCAAGCATGAAAAAAAGACCATAAATTCTACACATACTAAATGTTCTTTATTTTCCTTTTCAAGTAAAGAATTGATTCATTGTTTTTAATGTAGGTTATTGAGAAGTGCATAAAGAGTTTCATATATGTGCAATCGATAAATTAGTTATGGCTAGCCGATTGTTTTGATTGATCAAACAAAACCTAAAAGCTGAACTCATTAGAATTATTTTATATAAAAATAACTCTCTTATATGGTTTATATGTAAGATGAAAGCAATACGATTCACAAGTCAATTATTGTTATTTGATTCATTCATGTAGCTGTTTGAGTAATAGTTTTTATTATTTTGAAAAGAATTAAAAAAATATGATGATAGTGATAGACAAAGATATAGAGTATTATTGAATATTTTGTTTGAACTTCTTAACAAGCATTATCATACTATTTTACGACATAGTTATTAATGTTAATCATCAGTTGTTATAATAAAAAATAATGTTAACATGAACAAGCTTGTGTTTGTAATAAAAACACTTCGAACGATTAGTCTCGTTCATTATTATCAAAGCAAAGAAAGAAATAAGATGAAGAACTTTTTTTTTATCATCTTTACTTGATAGATAAATAATGTAAGAGTTAACTAAAATATATAATCCTAGATTTTTAACACTACAAAAAGAAAATGAAAAATTTAGCACATAAAACTTCTAAACAACATCTTGCTTGTGTTATTTTAAATATTTGTATAATGCCATGTGAAAAAAGATAGATCGACTGGTATGAGCTGTTTTACAACAGGAACTAAGATTATTATAAATAATTTTAGTTATAATGAGTACTATCCTATTGGTTACATTCTTGTTCCATTCATCAATCATAAAGTAAATATTCACCATCAAACATACCAACGACTACTAAGAATAAAATGTTCAGATTAATAAACAAGACTACTAGTTTGATCGACACTATAATTAATTAAATCAAGGGCCTAAATATATATAACTGCTTTTTTATCTTTGTCCATAGTATAATAGAACAAACCATCATAAATAAAAAATTTTCAGAAATATTCTCGCAAATATAGATCTGCATTTGTTTCTTCGTAATACTGCTAATGCTATATACTCGTTACATCATTTATGACATTTTTTTTTAATATAAAAATATCGAAAAAAAAAGCCTTCAATGTCATTTTGAATATTGTTTCTTTATGATTACATTTCGCTGCCTTGGTATCATCTGCAGTTGAAAAAAAACCAATGTTTGACAACTCACTGAAACATTCTTTTCTCGACACTTATATCGATATTGATGGCAATAATTTAAGTGTTCCTATGTAATTTTGATTTAATGAGAGTGAAAAAAACATCTCGTTACTAATAATGAAAACAGGAAAGTTTGGAAACTAAATCAAATTTAATGTATTTTATAGTTCTATTTATAAAAATGCAAAAAAAATAGCTTTCAACAAGTGTTAGAAATAGGATTCATGGCATTATTACTATATTTTTTTTGTCGTCGATGTCCTCTTCTCAAATTACACAGGTCTTATTATTTACTTGTTTTCATTTTTTTTTTAGTTGTATAAGTTTAGATCAAATAATATGAATCATTATTTGTGTTTTTTTTTTTGATGCAATCAAATTTTACTATCATACTTTAAATTGATTACAAAATAATTTAAAAAATAGTATGAAATATTGCAGTACACAATGGGTAAGATTATATTGTTCTGTACTCTTGTATTTATATTTGTTTAATATTAAGTGTAAAAAAGAAGAAATTAAGTCTTGCACAACACTTAACAAAAGACAGATGTCTTCTTATATGGCTTCTAATTACTTTTGATGTTTTACATGTTGAATTTTTTTTTTTTCTATGCAGGATTAAAAATCGTTTTATATTGTTATAAGATAGTGGTAGTATAGAAATGAACCGAATAGATATGAACAAATAGTAAATTCATAATACGAATGACTCTTATGACTTTGTTAATCGTGTTTTATTTCGAACATTTCGCGAAAAAGTATTATAATCGTAAAAGAAAACATTAAATAAAATACATCTCAGGACACAAAGAAGACATCTGTTTTGAGACTAGGAAATCTATAGTTAACTGTTTTTTTTTATATGCAAATATATTATTTTCATGGAAAATCAATTACTTGAAAAAATGTTTTGAACAAAATAATTAATCAACAAACTAACTCTCATCTATTGAACTCTATGTAGACGTGAATTGAGATTTATGTATTAGATTTGATAAAATACATGTAACAATATCTATTCTACTGATAATTTGAATGATATGATAATCTTATCAAGTGTCATCAATAGTTATATTGAATCGATTTCAAAATATCTTGTCATTTTTATTCATATTGAATGTAAAAATAAAAATTGAATACATAATGAATCTATCATAGTTAAGGGATAAGTTTCGTGAACAACAACATGAAAGTTATAATTTTCAATACATTGTAAGTATTTTTTTTTCTATTTATTTATTTTAAATTAGTAGATTATTTGATTAAATTAGTTATAGTTCACGAAACTACATAAATAATGAAAATTATTTGCAGGTTCGAGTAAATATGGTTCTTGCATACGAAAAGAAAAAGCTTCTGTCGTTTGTCTGCCATATGACGAGAAATGTATGCTTGAAGAGATTAAGCGATATGAATTGGAATGGTTTGTTTTCAAGTGACAATCATTATTTGCTTTTTTCCTCAAGTATTAGAAAACATCATTGAGAATATTTCGTCGTAAGCATCATTTCTAAGTCACACGAATAACGAAAAACCCGCCGTTGTCACTCGTTAAGAGAGCAGCTTTCAATGCATCAAAAATTATTTTTTTTTTGCTGGAAAAAAAAGCGAGTTCGGGACAGTAAATGTTTTCAAATTCGTTTAATTCCAAGAATAAAGTCTTTTTTTTAATGGATGAAAATTTACACCTTGTAGGCGTAAGAAAAATAACCGATTATTTTCTTTGTTTGTCTGATTGAGTTATTTCTCTTTACCTGTAATCGAATGACATAATATTTGTCGATTATAGTATGTAATAGAAGAAGGAACTTCATATTTCAAAAAACAAAAACAAAAAAATATATATATATATATATGTGTATATAGATATAGGTGATTTATTCTATCCTTGCATGTAACTGTTTATTTTAGTTGAATGATTTGAGAATTAGACAGTTTTTAGTAAAAAGCAACAGTATCTGTTGAAATATTCATTTTATTTATGAAAATTAATACTGACTAACAAGTTTATGATTACCAATAGCTGCTGGAATTTCACTTTGTAGTTTTAACATTTCTCCTTTTGATACGTGTAGGATTTCCGAGCCGAATACACCTCGTACTTCAAGATATTTTTTTGTATCACAACAACAATTGCAACATCCACAACATCCACAACATTTAGTACATAAGGAAGAACAGCAATCTTGACGTTCTGTTGTTTCACGTATTTCAGCTATATCACGTAAAAAAATCGAAGCATCTATATGACCTGGTTCACAACAGCAACTACAACATGTTGTATCCATAGTTCGCAGCAATAATCTTGTATCAGTAAGAGTTGTATAATGTGAACCTGAACAATCACAACTTCCTTCTCTCATTTCCCAACTACGTATAAAATGTTCATTTCCCATTAAAGCAAATGAATTGTGAATTTCACTATCACGTGGTTGTTTAGTAACATATGCTGCTCCAACACTCGACATTGATATCTATGAAATTTGAAATAAAAAATTAAATTTAGATCTATTACTACTATACTTAAAATGATGTTTTTCTTTGTTTGAAAAGTAAAATTCACATAGTTGTTCTACTTACTTCGAATGTTCGTTTAAACTGTTACTTTTTTCTGCTTCTTACTTTTCTTCTGAATTTAAATATTAAAATGAAATTTTGCGTGGGGTATCTGTCATCTGCTTAAAATACTTTAACAACATTTAAAAAAAAAGTCGTACTAAAAGGAATAAAAATTGGCAGCGCTTACGTCAATAAAGAAAACAAGTCAGAACAGAATGTGTACATCATATAACTTTGTTTTGTTTTTAAAAAGAAATAAGATGTACCATATTGGATTGTATTCCATCGATTTGACAATAGATAAAATAATTGCAAAAATTCATGTACTCTCGATTGAAATAATAATTATTCAAAATATTTTCTATTATGTACAAACACAAAAATGGACAAGGATTATTTTGTTACTCGGGATATACAACACATGGATTAGTCAAATAAAATAATAAGATAAACGCAAAAAATAAAATAGCAGCAAATTAATACACTACTAGCTTTTCAACAAAACAATAGTGATAATTAGAAAAAAAGAAAAGAAAAGAAAAGGAAAGAAAAGATCAGTTCTTATTCAAGTTTCTTATTTTTCTTAAAAATTAAGTTGTTCTCCTTCTAATTTTTGTCCTGTACTTGAATAAAGTTCATAATTAGGTAACATATTTTTTAAATCAGATGTTGTTATTTGTACGTATTTTTCTTCTGTATCACCAGTTGATTCATAACCTGTTTCTCCTTGATTAACTGTATAATAACGTGTTGTTGTTGCTGTTGTTTGTCTAGCATTATTTGACAAGTCAACTTGATCAGATGGCATATCATAGATTTGTGAACCAAGTTTTGTTAAAAGATATGTAGGAAATTTACCATTATTACTTGCATGTGATCGTAAAAGCATTTCTTCTGTAAGAACTGGTGAAGTTGATGAATTTTGATCAAAATTATAATTATTTGCATTATAGATAACTGTTGCTGAATTATTAGGTGAACGATCATATAATATTTGTTGTTCACCATAGTCATCTGTAATACCAGAATGAGAATATGAACGAACAAGACGCACTCCACTACCACCAGTATTTGTCGTATATGTGTGTCTTGAAGATGATGATGGTTCATAACTTAAACATAAAAGTTTTCTTATTTCTAAAAACGAATAGCTAAAATAGATTAGTTTTTACCTATTAAGAATTTGTCGAACATTATATTCATCAGCTTTTTCTTGAGCAACTTCTTCGTTTACAGCAGATGTTTGTTGTTGTTGCATTAAAGTTAGTTCTTCTTGTAAACCTAATTCAGTTAATTTTTGTTGAACAAATTCTGTAGTATATAATTTATCTCCATGTTGACTATAATATCGTTGTGGATCAGCATCTTGAATTCCAAGTTTTTTGACATATTTAACAACTTCAACTTCTGGTGGACGCCATTCAATAATTGTATTTTTTATACGAGTCATTGGTTCTAATGGTTTGGCTTTTTCATGAATAACTTGACGTTTTTGTTTATGATATGGAAGCCAACGTTCAATAATGACAGGACGTGGTTTTGGTGGAAGATTAGGTAGACGTTCAATAATTAACTTACGAGGTGGAGGTGGTGGTGGTGGAATAACCTCTAGAGAATACCACAAAAACAATTATATTGAATATTTTCTGACAGAAATGATTTGATGAAAATGAAGTACTTTTAATAACTGTTGTTGGTACTGATTTTGGACGTGAAGGTGGTTTTTCACGAATAATAATCGGTGAAGGTGTACGTGGTGGTGGAGGCCGTTGACGAAGAATAATAGGTGGAGCATGTGGTGGTGGTGGTGCACGAATTTCACGAATAACAATAGGCTAGAAAATAACAAAAAAAGAAAAAGAATGAAATTCATTTATAAATATTTTCTTTTCTTCTCTTGTGAATTATAAATTATTTAAATGAACTTTAAAATCTTACTCCTGGAGGTGGTGGTGTATTAGGTCTTAAATATCGAACAGCAATATCTTGTTTATATGTTAATCGTTGTGTATTTGGTCGAACAATTAATTCAGGATTAGAATCAACATTGATCGGATAATTTTTGACATCAGGTGTTGCTTTTGCTGTTAATGCTTGAACTTCTTGATCTTCAACTACTGTATTAGCATATGATGTACCTGATTCAAGTAAATGTTTCATAGATGCATCTTCTAAATAACGTGTTACAGTAGTCGCTGATGGGTCACTGCTTTCATCTCGATAATAATATTCTCGAGAACCTGAACGTGATAATCGTTCATCATTTTCATTATTAATATTTGTTGTAAAAACAGTTGAATATCTTGTTGATCCACCAGCTGAACGATTACCTGTATTTGTTTCATCATAGTCATCATTCATTCTATAGGTTGTTCTTGCCGTACGACTTGTACGACTTGTTGGTACATCAAGAACATAGCGACGAGGTGGTGCACCTATGGAACCTGTTGATGAAGTAGACACTATACCACCTATATTAGTATTATTAGCAGTAGCTGTCGTAACATAATTTGCACCTCGACGACCATGCTGACGAGTTGAGGTAGCCATCTATAAAATTATTTTATTTATTTAACAATTGCCTTGAACCCTTCTAATCTGAATATATTTCAATCAAATGCAAATTAAATTGTAAATATCAACTAATAGTCAATAGAAGCTTAAATGTAAAAATATTGATTTACATATTTTTAAGATGAATAAAAAAAATTGAGGCTTTCACAACAGACAAATATTAGTCCTTCTTTTCTTTTTCTTACGCATAAAAATATGAGTAAAAGAATTTAAATTTCTTATTTCAACAGGTAATTTATTCTTCAAACTGTATTATTCATTTCTTTAGTAGGATCGGAAATTATTCCAACATTTTCCACCTTCATATTTCCATAGGCATCGTCCAAGTACACACTACATTAATAAAAAAAAATTTATATAGCTAAAAATAAACGACGCAAAAAAAGAAACCATAAAAAGTTTTATTCTAAATAATAGCGAGATAATGGCACGTGGATTTTACTTACCGCACTTTTCCCGAGCTAGAAAAAATAAATGCTCTAATATTATTCTTGTTCTTTTTAACTGAGAAAAAAAAATTATCGTAACTTACATTCATTGGCAGAACAAGAAAGGAAGTAAAGAAACTAAGATAAAAACTCGTGACAAGAGTATACAAAGAGCAACAAAACCACAACTAGCTTACTCTTACCATATCTCATTAATGTTAATAAATGTCAAGAAAGGGCTTAAGACAGTGATATATTAGTCTTTTCTTTTATATTTTATTTTAACACCTGCATGTATAATCAATATATATATGTATCTTTATATTCACTACTGAAAAAAATCGATTGTAAACGACAAACATAGGCATATTATAATCAAATCTTAAATAATCTAATATAATGAACAATATATTTCTTTTTTCAACTAATATACATACTTAATAGAGAAAAAGTAAAAATAAATAAATATTCATATTAATCAAAATAGTTTGAAGATATTTACACATATGTTATAAGAAATCGTATATAAAAGCATGTTTCTCTCACTCTCTCACCTATAGATTGTTGTTGTGTAAAGTATAATAATGCTAACGTGTATCAGTTGGTAAAGTATTTTCACTCGATTTATTTGATCAACCAATCGAGCCACTTAATTGCTTTTCTCACTCCGATAATGATGAGCGTAATGAAAGAAAAATGCACATAGTCTGTATAATTTATGAAAACTTATCAGTAATCAGGTATTGCTACTAGAGCATTTTGATTATAAATACGTATATATATGTTTTTACCTTTTCTTGGCTTTTTTTTTGTGCTTCTTTTTTTCCACTATTATAAATTCTTTTTCTCTCCGTGTTTTTTGCCTCTGTCTCGTTCTCCTCCTGTCTTAGTGTGTTGATCGAAAGATTTGACGGTAATGTTAGTGCGCGTCTAACAGAACAACAAATATTATTTGTCAAAGTTTGTTATTCAAGTATCGTTTGCTGGTATTTCAAGGTCACCTGCTGCTGCTACTTGTACTACTATTACTATCTGAATATAGATGACTCTAATTGGTATACGCTTACTAAGACATCTTAGTTATTTGAGGTAAAAAATAAAACCATTTCTTTACTTTGCGTCTACTTCATATACAAGTTGACGAGTAAAGAGAGAAAGGAATAAAAACAACTACTGAAAAATTCAACTATGTCAGTTTTTTTTCTCTTTGGACAAAGAACAAAAGATAGCGCTAGGCTTTTTTTTCTTTTCTCTTTTTAACAATACATTTAACTGCTATCGATAATAAAAACATGCTTTCATGAAATCTATATTTTTTAATTTGGATGTATATTTGCTATTGTTGTTTCGTTTGAAGTCAATCTCCATACATCATATAAACTTTATCGTTGATGATCATAAAAACAAAGAAGAACAACATCAGAGTAAAAGAATAACAAGATAACAAAAAAAAAACAGAAAAACACAAAATAGAGCAAATAGATTCTATTTGACAATGACAATTAATAGTAAAAGGTGTAATAGTTGAAAAGAGTGCACCTAAGATGAAAACAACCTTTCTTATTCTATGTGTCAAGTGAATCAGAAGAAAAATATTATTTCAGATCTTTATTTATTAAATGTCAAAATATTTGGTTAAGTTCAATGAAGATATATACGAATAGATAAGTTAATCTTGTAGTATCACTAAAGGTTTCATTTTTAATTTAATTAAACTTGTTCTTATCTTTTTCTTGCCTTAGACAATACTTTCATCGACAACAATCTATGTTCAAAAACTTACATCAAGGTTTTCTTGTTATTCATTAATTGCTACTAACATATATTTATGGCAAAAGAAAAACATTATAATGCATGTCTAATGTGCATTTTTCTACGCTCTAAAATAACTGTCATTAAAAACGATAACAAGAAAAGATTGAATATGTTTGTTAGAGACAGTCTGTATATGTGACAAGTGTATATAGCAGAAGGAAAATGTACAGAATATCTGCTGTTCTTAATTCTTAATATACAAGTTATTTTACAATTTGATCAGAAAATAAAATGTACGCAGCACACTTTGTTGAATACAATAACATATTGTTTTCAATAGTAAATGCTGTTTGTTCTTTTATTTTCGAATACTTCACACGCTTTTTCTTCCTATTCTCCAATCGCGTTTTGATTATATTAAAAAAAAACACAAAAATATGTTTTTCACTTATCAGCTTCTTTTTTCGCATCATTTGGTATTACTTGTCAAACGAAAAAGTCGGAGTTTCAGTAGTTTTCCTCTGAAAATTTTTTATTGAAAAAAACATTGTCATTGTACAATTTGCTAGTGTAAGCGGAGTATGCAAAATCATGTTATCTAAGATTTCTATTATAAACGCTCATCAAAGCATTGCTTTACTGTGAAAATGACGTCATTAATCGATGAAAAAAAGATTTCAGTAAAATTTAAGCTTGTTTATTATAAATTGTTTTCCATCAGTTACATTAGTGTTATAAAGGATTAGTTTTTTTTTAAAGAAAAATTTAATTTCCTCAGCATTTAAAAATCTAATTTTTTGACATATATTTATTTTTCTTATTTTAGATAATGAATAAATCTAAAATAATAGAAGATGCAATATGTCAATTAAATTCTATTCTTTCTTCTGCTCATGAACAATTTATTTCAAATCCTAATGATTTTTTTTCTCAGGATCGTATTTCATCATTAGGTAAATACATATCAATTCTATCCAATCTCTGTAATTTGCTTAATTTGTCTGGTTATGATGAATTAAAACAACATCTAGAAAATTCTTCTTTCTCTAATCTTCGAACTCGATGGAATAACTTTCTATCTGAACTCGATAATCAATCTATACTTTCATCATCGTATCCATCGACATTACCTTCTGATGTTCAACTATTGAATGTTAATAATAATGAATTGATTGATTTGAAAAATATATATACAAATCATGATCGAAATTTATTTGTTTTTCTTCGTCATCTTGCTTGATTACCTTGACGAGAACATGTGCAACTGTTAACAACTTTAGATCAATGTCATATTGTCATTATTAGTTTTACATCATCAATTGATAGTGCCCGTCAATGGAAAAATGAAGTTGAATGTCCTTTTGATATCTATTGTGACAGTGATCGTCGTCTCTACCGACATTTTGGATTTCCTGCTAAAGCCTATGCTCGAGTGTGGAATGTTCAAACGTTGGATTATTATGTTGAACAAAAATTAAGTGGAAAACAATTACCAACGCTATTAGACAAAAATGATGATCCAAATCAAATGGGTGGTAATGCTATTACTGATCGAAATGGCCAAGTTATTTGGGTTTACAAGAGTAAAACACCTACAGATCGACCAAGTGTCCAGCAGTTGCAATCTATCTTAGAACACTCGATCCATGACGATAGTCATCTCAACTTCGATAAAACATGAAGCGATGACTATCCGAGATCTTTTATTAAATATAGTATGAATGTATTTTTAAATCATTTTTTTATCTTTAAATTTATAAAAATAATAAATTCATATCTTACGAAATCTTGTAATACAATTATTAAATATTCAAACTTTCTTTGTGCTATACATGTTAATTATGAGAACTGATTGACTGTAAAGTCTTTCATCATTATTATTCATTTTATCGATGTGTATTCTAAGGGTTATACTATTGTAAAAATAGGAAAATATAATAAGATTAAACCATTTTGTCTAGATCTCTCTGAATTCTATTCTCTTGTATTCAGACACTTAACCGGTAAAAATATTGACGTTGAATGCTGATTACTTATTTTACACAATTAATTAAACAGTTATAGATAGTGAATCATGCAATTCAAAGATTCACGAGAGAGCTAATATCTCGTTCAATCGCGCCTTATCATAAAAGTACTTTTTGAGGCGAATTTTTCTGCAAAGCCTTTGAACACTCAAGATAAACAAGCGCAATCAAATATACTCATGTAACAAACAGTTTAGATCATTCTCGTTTGAATGAAAACAATTCTCATAATTATTGAACTAGGTGATGGTAACTGAAGTGGATGAATTTGTGTTACAAGATGCCAATAGGAAATTTGAATCTCATTGTTCTCTTAGACACTGAGACAATCACAAAACTTTAAACTTCTTGGTTTAGATTATGCTTTAGCTCTCTTATGTATAATGTACTAGATCATTCTTAGCTCGTTCACCAGAAACAAACATTTTTCTGTGTTTAGAATGCATTACATGATCAAAGAAATTAGTATTATATATAAGAGGGTTTAGATGAAACTCTTGATTGAATGATAAAAGGCTTTGTTCAATCGATTCAATATCGATGTTAATTTTGTTCTAAAAACTTCCCACTTCATGTTTCACTTTATACGAGCAAAAATACTTATTGTAAACGATTCGTATTTTCTAGTTTTTATAACGAGGCATACGTTTTAGATTATTTTCGTTTTGAATGAGTTATTGACAATGATAGTTTGTTGAATTCGAAATGAATCGATTAGAACACAACTATTCAGCTAAATACTAAAACGATCGAGAAAATCATTTAACTTCTAATTGTAATTTTGTCATTTTTTGATAATGACATAAGCAGTTGAAACATATTTTCATTTATATTTTTCTATCTAAGTGTCATATCTACTTCGCATTTTATTTTGAGTACTTATAAATGCAAAAGACATACATATTACAAAAGAATCTATAAATGACAAACAATTCTACAATAATACAACTCATGCATATTGCCACATGAGAAAATGTATATATTTTTCTTCAAGATCAAATATCACTCTAAGAAAACATGAAATATGGAAATGATAAAGTTTTTATCGCAAAAATCCAAAATGTGAAGTAGTTGAATGCAATAAAGAGAACATAATAATGCTCGATTAAAATAAGAAACCGATGAGAGAAGAAGTTTCATTTGTTGCATCGATGTACAACTGCTATCTTTCTGAAAGTCGTATCTTTATGTTAAAACTTGTTCTTTCATACCTACTTTTATGTTTTTATTCATGTGCTAGTTCTTTAAAGAAAGTCGCATAATTAATAGTTTAATTATGTTTATCAAAAGGTCTGACCTATGTTCTGAAGTCAATTATTTCAAATTCGATTTATTGTTGTCATTATGTGGATTCAAGAAAGGTAACTGTCAGATAATAAATCATCATAGAAACTTTCTTAGTGAAAACCAACAACGTAATGAATATCTTTATACTATATTATTATCAATAGTAAACATAAATAATTTCATTGTGTTTTTTTCAAGTACTATTGTTTGTTATTCCAGTTTATAGAAATACTTTTTCTATCTGAAACTAAGATCATTTGATCATGTAAGCGAACGAATAAACAATCTATAAATATGTTGAAAATTCCGATGACTTTATTTCTTTATTCTCGTCTTCTTCGAATAGTCTCAGTTGTCTTATATTTTGATGCGTTAGGTATTTTCTTCATTGAATGGAATAACCATTGTATAGGAAAATTATGTTTCATATCCAGTGATTACATTGTATAAATATAATCAGTATGTTTAGAAAAGATTACCTAAGAAAAAAAACAAAGTTACAGATTTGTTGTTTTCTTTTTAAATAGAGTAGGAAAAAAAATGATGAAATAAATAATTATATTTCGAAACAGAAAAAAGTAATCAGTTTATGATTCATGAACTTGTTTGTTCGTCATCAGTTACTGATGTTTGATTAGCAGTTGACATAGCTTCTTTCAATTCTTGTAATTTTTCATTTAATTTATCAATACAAGCAATAAATGATTGTTGAGGACGTATAGGTCGATGTTCTTCAACATATTTTAGAGCTTGCTAAATATTCACAAGAAACAAAAAAAGCATAAATTATTCATTAAATCATCTCTTTTTTGGTCAAAACTTACTTGTGAATTCATTCTCATTTGAAATGAAATAAAGGCAACAATAACAGCTGCTGATCGACTAACACCACGATCGGAATAAACAAGAACAGGATCTCCACGATCATAAGCAACAGCTATTTAAAAAAAAGCAAAATAAGCATTATTTAAATTTTTGAAGGTTGAAAACAGTTTTACATATAAAATTAACAGCATCATGTAACAATTCAAATATATTCTGCGCATCATGAACATCATCTATTGAAATACGACAATATTTTCGTGAATCACTATTTTGTACTCTATGATTTTAAGAATAAAAAATAGAAAGAAAAAAAAAATATATACATCTCAAACAAAAAGAAAAAATACTAACAAATAATCTTCATGTTTTGTACAATTAACATAGGCACGAATTTTTAAATCTTTCACTATTTGTGAATTAACAGCATGTTCACGACGTCCTAAATAAACTAATTTTGGACATATTTCATTTGGATAAGTCTGTATTAATTCTAATTCCTAACAAAAATATATGTAAAATTTATCATTCAAAAAAAAAAACCAAACAATAAATAAATACAAATCTTACTTTTGGTGAATAAAGAGATTGTTGTGTACGTAAAAACGGATATAGTTTTGAAAATAATTGAAATCCTCCATTAACAATTTTAATAGTTGTCAAACCAGTCACATATTGATGAAGTAAATTTGCACATGCATATATATCATCTATATATGAACAAAATAGCACTTGACCAACTACTTGCCATTTCAAAATACCAATTACATACCTTCTTCTTTTAATGGTAAATTATTTGTTCGACTATCATAGAGAACAATATGTTCACGTGTTTCAAGATCAGCATGCCATGGCATTTCATATTGACCATTTTGATTCTTTAAAATATACAATAGTTTTCAATCATATAATATGTACCATTAACTTACTCGTCGAATATGATTAGCACTTATAACATGACTTTCATCATATTCTTTGCGTGATCGACAATCTAAGAAAAATTTCAATAAGATTATTGAAAAATTTTCAAAACAAACAAATAAAACCAAGTAAATAGAGATAATTAATATCACTAATACGTGCTAATCCATTAATTTCGGCATTGAGTATATTAAACAGATCAATACATTCAATTAATTCGAATGATGGTGGAAACATCGTTCTCTTTCTATTTTCAACAAATCAATTCTATATTCATAATTGAAAGAACGTCGACATTATTATCTTCGTTTCCATAGACAACGAATTTATGTTGAACGAGTGGCGTCATCTATTAAAAAAATCTTCTTTTAGAATGTAACTACGAAAACATTTCAAAGAAAAAAGTTCGAAAAAAATGTTTCTGTTTTCTTATAAATACTTAGAAGAAAAAGTATTGAAGCATTTTCATTGGTTCAATACATAATCAATAAATAAACAATTTGATATATTATGAGTCAATTGTGACTTTTGTTCAGTGGTTGTATTAGTGGTCTATCTGCAAATTCTGGTTGTCAATTTCAAATCGGTATTTTGCTGAAAATGAAAAGTGTTTATATTTTTAATACAAGAACACTTTTAACGAAAACAAAAATAAAAATAAAAATATAATCTTTTTTGTAGATCAAATGATCGTACCTCGTCTTCGGAGTGAAGCCCGTGGCGGGTCATCATCTGGTTCATCAACTCGTTATAGTGGAGGTGTTTATGGAGGTAAAATACATCATGGCAACAATTCCAATGATCCTGATCTTAAACGAGCTCTTCAATGTTCTTATACATTACAAGCTGTACGAAGATGGGAAAAACGTTGGGTAGTCATTCATGAAACATCAATGCGTGTTCATAAATGGATGCCAGCACCAACAACAGCTCCAACACTTGCTTCACAAACTGTTGTTGACAAAACAGCTGATCCTGCTAATAATAATAATGATACTGAGAAACAACCAGAAGAAAGTCAATTACAACAAAAACAGCAAGAATCTACTGCTACTGAAACACAAGATACTCAAATGTTAGTCGATGAAGAGAGCACTAGTCAATCAAGTCAAGCTTAGCTCTAATTAAATGTTTAATGCCAATATTTTCTTTCTCTCTTTTTTTTCAATGTTTAATATTGGTTGATGTTCTTTTGTGTTTTTTTTTCTTGTACAATAGCATATCTGTACATGTATCTGTCGATATGAAAATTCAAAACAGAAATATGTATCGTATAATTATCTTATTTTATCGTTTACGAAAGCAAACATAGAACAAAACTTAATCGATATACAAAAAAAAAGAGAGGTACACTTTTCATAGCGTAAAATGAAGAGAGGTTTGAGTAATGCATGTCCATTAACGTTGAATCAAATCGGCAATAATATAATATCCTGTATATAAAATTGCTCAATTTTATTCTGAGAATAAAACGATACTACAAGTCATAAATATGAAAAAGATATAATGTTGCACTCCGTACTGAGTAGTTGCTTTGAATGTAGGAAATAACTTTGGTTTTTCGATTATTTGTATTCGGTGCCTAATATATTCTAGGTATTTTTCCGGTAATCTTGAGGATGGTCTTATAAGAATCAAGTTACAAATGGCTCTTACTTTCAGAGAAAAATCCTCTGAATCAATCCCGAATCATTTGTTGTATTATAAGACAGTTCACGAAAAGACCACTCACAAATATAGAGGTCGGATGCCGAAAAAATTTACTTTTTGAAATTGCATGTCTAGTTGAAAAGAACGCAAAAAGTTATCCATAAACCCAAATTTTTAGACTTTTCTGGCCAAGTCTTGGGTGACTTCCGAGATCTGAGTTTTTCAGATTTTGGAATGATATATTACAATTAGCTATTTTTGACATTTTTTTTCATAAGTGTTTTCAACTCCAAAAATGACCAAAACTATAAGAAAACTATAAGTATCTTATACCAATCGATAGAACGAAATTTACTCTACAAAACCCGATGTGAATTATATTTTTTTTGACTTGTCCAGCAGTACTAATAATTGATAAATTATCGAAGTCCATCAATTTTGCAGCCAAATATGAGCATAGTTTTTGACCCTATTTGTTTCTACTATTTCAAGATCCCAGGGTGAATTTTGGATATGTTGTAGAATACAAAAAGACACATCTTTTCATATAATTATGTTTAGGGCTAGAGTATTAGTAAAGTCCGTAATCACTGTCTACAAGGTACAAAAACGACATAGTTTTTTTCTAGTTTCATGTATAAATCATATGTTCTGGGTATCAATAAATTCAACATAAGCCGTCATTTCGTCTTTCACTTTTCATTCAACTAGCATTAATTTATAGAGCATTTGAAATTACTAATGGGACATGGTCACAAGCTATCATCGATAACTCTTTTAATGGTACATTCTAAAAAAAAGGATTTTTACTGAGCCAAAAAAGGTTTATTCTGTCTGTACACGGGAAGATCCTTTTTTTGATTTCGTAAAAGAGATGGTTTCGTGCGCAACAGTTTTTGGGTGTGGGTGGATGTGGGTGTGAGTGGGTGTGGATGTGTGAGTGTGGATGTGGATGTGTGGGTGTGGGTGTGTGCAGGTAAAGAGAAAACTTACAGTCACACCCACCCAAAGTGTTTCAAAAATTGAAATGCATTGAATAAGAAGAGAGTCAAAATTTGTGATAGTATAAATGATATGCTAATCAATGTGAAATATATGTGTAGGTCAGTTTATCAAGATCTCAAGGCGCACTAAAGAAGTAAAATCGGATTAAAAATAGATTCTATGTGCCTTATATTTCTTTACAATTAACTTTTTAAAAGGAAAACTCGAAATTAGTTTTTTAGCACGATGCCTATAGCAATGGAGCGAGAAATTTTCGTAGTCTGTATGAGGTAATTTACAAGAATCTTTTGAATGAAAAAATTACTAAAAAACTATTACCAGTTATATATCGTCCAGCATGCAATAGTAACGTAGGTGACCACGATTTCGCCAGACGCTGCAAGCTCGAAAAATGTTCAATTCGCATAACATATCAGTTTTCACTTCACTTGATGACTATGGTAATAATGTATTAAAATATTGTAAAAAAAACTACTATATGATTTAATAATAAGTTTCAACAGTAAAGTTTCAGCAAGATTCATAGCCAGATGAATTCGAATAAATGATTCAAATTCAAACATCAATTGATGAATGCTGTTTCTCTCACTAGTTATTATCGTAAAACAAGCAGTGAATATAATGACAGAAGGACCATGTGAACTAGAAGATGTTTATGCAAATTTAGTGACGATCTCTTTTGTTTTTGTATTTCAAACCATAATTCATTAATTTCAGATTGTTGGCATAGCCCATTCGCGTCAATCACGAATAAACTTAAGTTCATGATCACATATGCATAAATCATCATATCAATGCCAAAATGAAAAACATGCAAGCGAAGCGTAAATGTTATTTTTATACACCAGAAATTACTGATAATATCTATCTTATACTGTGTAGATTGAACGTCACCCTTTCAAAGATATGAACATAGTTTCGTTTTCGTTGGCATCGCTCATATATACTTCTATCATACTGTATACATTAAAGGATTCATTTTTTTATCCAAAAAAGACAGCTTGTATAAAAAAAAATGATAACACCTTCAAACTAATTCTAAACAATTTATACTACAACATATTATAAAAAAATGCAGCTTGTATAAAAAATTATAATATAGAAATAAAATTTTAAACCATACGTGCTGTAGCGTGTTCCTCTTTTGGAATAACATGATGTAAAAGTAAAATAGAAATGTCGTGTACAGTTATTGTTTCACCAGCTTGATAGATTCTTCCTTCATCGCCTTCAGTAATAACTGTATCTTTACTTGTATCTAATATCAATGTCCAATCTTTAGCATATTCCTCTCCAGGTAATTTATAATCAATATATCCATTATAAGCATTAAATATTATATAAAAACTATCGTCAGTAATTCGTACACCTAATGATGTACGAGCTTGCATTCCTCGTCCATTAATAAAAACACCAAAGGATTTGGCATAATCATGTTGCCAATCTTCGTCTGTCATATGATGGCCACCAAAGTTAAACCAAGCTATATCTTCAAGTTCACCAAGTTTCACAGGTTGACCACGAAACCATGTTCGACGACGAAAAACTGGATGTTGACGACGTAGATGAATTAATTTTTGTGTAAATGCTAATAATACTTTGTCCGCTTTTTTCCAATTCAACCAAGATATTTCATTATCTTGACAATATGCATTATTATTACCTTGTTGTGTTCGACCTAATTCATCACCTGAAATAAAGTCATATTTAATTCTAAATTTACGTCAAGCTTTAATACATAGGAAACTGTTGAATGTATCATTCACGATAGTTGACACTAAAAGTCTTTTGTCAAATTTTCCATATTGGTCATCAATGTTTTCAATCAAATACTGTTTATGTGCATTAAAATGGCATAAAGACTTTATTTTTCACAGAAAAACACAAATCTAAAAGATGAAATGTTTATTCTATTCTCAGCACATTCAGAACTCTCTTCGTCTTGTAATATATTTAGGACAATCCAAAAGTAGTGACGAAGGTAGTCTAATCCCGTATAAAAAAAAAACTTAAAGAAACTTTCTCTCTATGTAGTCTAACAAGAAAACAAGACTTTATTATTTTGTGGTATTTGAACATTCGTTAATTAATATCATAAGAGTGAAATTTTAATAAGATCTCTTTGTCACGATCAGTGATGATAATATTACATAGTATTTTGTCTTGGATGTGTACCCTTTCTTGATGTTCTGTTTCTCATCTTCTGTAATGTCTGATCGTCAATACCTATTAGAGTGTACAAAAAGTAATGGTGATAGAGCTAACACCAAACACAGAAACAAGTTGATCTAGTTCTTACTTGAATAATATTTCGAATCTTAAACCATGTCTTTTTTTTGGTTGTTTGACTGAATCCAACAATATACAGCCGATCAAAATGATTCAAGATCATTTCATCGTGCTGTCTTCAGCTTCAAAAACACTTTAAATAAAAAATATTATGATATTAGTTAGAGAATGATCAACCGCCACAGAAAAATAGAGTATTGGTTTTACAATTGGACTACGTAGAGAGAAAGTTTCTTTAAGTTTTTTTTTATAAGGGATTAGAATATCTTCGTCACTACTTTTGGATTGTCCTAAACATGCGCATTATACTATATCATTCGATTTAAAAACATGAATAAACTTTTATCTATACTTCTAGTACACTTAAATATATGATAATTTACATTATTGCAACTTATCGAGTACTTATTTTAGCTATGCAAATCTCTATACGCTTTGAAATCTACTCTCAATAGAGAGTTACTCTGTAAAATATACAAATAAAACATTGTGACCCATTTTGAAGATAGAAAAAAGTTTACAATATCTTAATAATTTCTAACTTTTCAATGTTTCTTAATCTTCAAAACAATTTCTATTCATTTATTCATTAGTTATTTCTTTTTGAAAAGCATTTGTCAAAGAAAAGTATCGAAACAAAGCTTTGTATTATGATGATCCTTTTCACGTTATTTGTCATTGAAAATAGTAAAGACATAATAAGAACTCCTTTCAATGATTACTTATCGTTTTCTTCTTTTTGTGAAACAAAAATAGAATTTCATATAACTAACCTGCAACTAACATTGGAATTCCTTGAGATAAAAATAGTGTTGTTAAAAAATTTCGTTTTTGACAATCACGAAATTTATTAATATTTTCATCATCTGTTGGACCTTCAACACCACAGTTCCATGAACGATTATGACTTTCACCGTCACAATTATCTTCACCATTGGCATGATTATGTTTTTCATTATATGAAACTAAATCATTCAATGTAAAACCATCATGTGCAGTTAAAAAGTTAATAGAAGCTGTTGGTCCTCGACGTTCTTCAAAGTATAAATCTGAACTTCCAGTAAAACGTTCAGCGAATTCCGAGAGCATACTTGGTTGACCACGCCAATAATCTCTCACACAATCACGATATTTTCCATTCCATTCAGCCCAACCAGGTGGAAATTTTCCTACT